CCCCAAAACCCCAAAACCCCAAAACCCCAAAACCCCGAATGAGAGCTAGGGAATTGGGATTATAAATATTTATAGAAAAGTTATGCCAATAAGGTGTCAAGATGCGACCTGTAGAGACCAAGTAGAGGTCTATGTTGAACAAGTAAAAAGGTACTACTGTGCTTCATGTGCTGGGCTGTTGCATAGTAATAAGACTCATGTGCATATACCGAATCCTAAAGCGAGTTATTCATGTATTGAGCAAGGTGAGGGTGTTCTTAGGCATAGTTAATGTATAGGATATCATATTTTGAAGAAAGTTAATACAATGAAAAATGCTAAGAAGCTAGACGAGGTATGGGCTAAGTTCTTACCTGAACTCAAAGAATTCGAATATGAGCTGGAAGATCTTAGAAGTAAGTAATTTATCTTGGATCGTTTAGAAAGATATTATGAAATCACAGAACGAAGAATTTTGTTAGAGCTCCCTTCCCTCCAAAATAATTGCTTTGACTTCATAACTAAACTTTACGAGTCTGAAGCTTTGCAGTCCTACTTGAGAGAACACATGCTTCTCAGCATGAAGCTAGAAAAAGATGAAATACAGTACTCTGAAAATAAAAAGAACAAAAATCTAAACAAAGCCGAGGTCCTTGAACTTGTGAATGGGACAGATCAACATATTGAAGGTCTTGCTCCTCCACAAAAAGCTCATAACTCGCCTAAATTAAAGAAAAATTAAATCAAAACCAAATATAAAGGAAGAGATCAAAAATGAGAACGACAAATTAATTATTAAAGAAGAGAGTAAGCGTGAAGAAGAATCTTCAAAAGAAATTGAGGAAATGAAATCTGAGATCCAAAATCTCTCTCAAGAGCTTCAGAATCAGAATGAAAATTTAATACCCACACACGAGTCATTCAATGAGCTATACCAGAAGATAACCGGGAAAACTGGAGTTGTGTTCGATAGTAGCTCTAACCTTACGTTCGATCTTTCTGTCCGTACTTCTCAAACTTTACTAAAATGCCTCCAATTTTACAAACTTCCTGAACTTGATAATGTTACTATCTCAAATATCCATAAATTCAACTGTCCAAAAATCATTGGTAATTTCATGAAGAATGCAATCCACCACAAGATTAAGCAATTTGATTTCTTCTTCACACCAAATTCTGTTGACAATTTCAGCTCAAGCTTCAGTCCAAATTACTTTGAGTCACTAAAAAAGGTATTCATTTTCACCTCATTAAAATTTAATCTCACCCGCTTACTCAAAACTTCCTACCCATTTTCGATAAATTTCATCCTCTCAACATTAAAAATCACCCAAAATTTCTTTAAACCAACCCAACACTCCCAAAACCCACTTCTAAACTAACCCTCAAAGGTAGCTTCAACCATCTCAGAAGATTTATACATCAACAACTTCACTCTGAGCCAGACCGAATACCAAGACCTGCTTATCGCTGCAAAAAAATGTAAAACAATCGAGACCCATTACTGCTACATAAACTTTGAAGAAGAATGCGACTTTGGCAGCCAATTAGATGATGCTCAGTTCACATACCTTGGCCTGTACCAAGTTGGTAGTAAGAAATATGGTAAATGGAAGCAAGAGGGGTTTAAGCAGTTCAGGAATCTTATTAATGGGCTTGCCAAAGTGGAGTATGTCAGAGAGACCAAGATTGATATTAGGCTTGATAACTGTGGAATGACAAAAGCTGAAGCAAGGAAGATGCTGGATAGTGTGGGGTTGAAGAAGATGAGTGCCAAAGGGGTTTCTTAGGATTGGATTTTAGCAGATTTTAATAGTGGGCCATTCAATGTGAAAATTTATTCCGGGGTTTTGGGGTTTTGGGGTTTTGGGGGGATTTTATTGTGGGGCATTTCAATGTGAAATTTTTTCCGGGGGTTTGGGGTTTTGGGGTTTTGGGG